TATATATATATATATAGTATGTTTTTCGAATAAGAACAGACACAAGCGACTGGTGTCTGTGACCAGCACGCACAGTACGCAGAGTAGCATATTTGCACCAAGAGCATCCCAATCGCAATCGAGTATACTGCCCATGACCAGCGGCGAACTGCCCTTTGTGGAACTATTAGAGGAGATACCTGAGTTTATAATAGGAACACATGTTCACTCAGAGCCAGGTACATATGTTAATGATGTTGATGCGGGTGTAGATGAAGCACATAAACCACATAGGAATACTACGGACGGGTGTGAAGAGAAAGGCGACAATCACTGCCAATTAAGCGATCTATCTACTGGCTCGGTGAGGACCAAAGCAATTGCGTGTACACAGCATAATAGTAGAGCTGAAGATGGCACAAGAAGCACACTTAGCTGTCTTAGTGTAGAAAGGTATGCCACGGGATCGTCTCCGAAGAGCGAAGTGTCCTATACTAGCTGTAACACATACAGGGAAGGGTCGGATGCTAATGCTACACTAAGCGGGATCGCAGGGTTGGGCTTGGACAATACAACTGATACCAGTTGCAGGGGTTATAGTGCAGATGAACGTTTACTAGCCGGCAGTACAATGCACGAGAGCACAGAGACTGTGAGCACTGGGATAGGGATTAAAGCATTAGCTGGAGAAATGAATAGAGGCCTAGGGACTGAGGTAGACGTAAACATCCCCGCGGCGAGTAGTTATCTCTATTTAGAACAGAAACAAACAGATGGAAGCTCGACGAGCGAGGACCGATGGAAGCGCCACACACAGGCTACACGTTTGTTGACCAGGCCACAGTCCACACCAAATCATATAGGCAGTTTATTGGCGAATAGTATCGATATGGCCAGTTTCGTACCCATGTCTTGTAGGAAAGGGAGTGGATATGGATACCGTATGAATGCCGTGGAAGCCTCTGAAATACCAGCGGTGGTTGAGCGAGACATTTCTGATATGGGGATAAGAGGTTGGGTTGGGGTTCATGCGAGTTCGAATGTAGAGAAAGAGGTATACTCAGGCAAGAGGTGCGATATAGGTTTTAGTCAAGAATACGGCGAAGTTTACCGATCGGAGGGGAATGGTAATATAGCAGATGCGGATCAGTGGGCGGATGACAGTTGCAAGATAGGTCTTACCATGCAAGGAGCGCTACCAGACGATCTTAATCACAACACGGTAGAAATCAGTGCCAGTGACAATGGTATCGACTGGACTAATACGACGCTAGGGAAGAGTGAGCGAGACAAGGCAAAAACCAAAGAGAAAGACAAAGAGAGGGGGAAAGACAGAGAGAGAGATAGTAGTTATGCCAAAGAGACATCCGGATTCTTCAGGCGGATGAAGGGCATATCGAGTGCGGTACTGCCCAAGATTGACGATATATCGATCAAGGACAAGAGCCCCAAGTCGGGCATACGACCACAACTCGCAAGTGGGGCAAGTGGCGGTAGCAGTAAGTATAAAGTTTCGGAATTGAAGAATTTAGGCAGTGACAAGGAAAGGTTATGCCAGGAGACGACCGTGGATTTTGAGGCTTCGTGGGAGACTAAGGATGACAACATCGTTCAGTACAGAGATGTACTGGGTGCAAGCAGCATAGATATGATCGCTACGAGCAAGCACATGCGCACATATAACACTGACCCGGATTTATTGGGTGATCGGGGTAGAGACGAGGGATGGGGTTCATATGAGAGAGCTCACGAAAAAAGGCTTGCTGGTCTTAAAATAGACGAGAAGAGTACAAAGATGGTTTCAAAACGACCTGCCTCCAGTTGCAGTCAAAAACGAAAGCCTGTGTTGTCGAACCACGAATCGCTGCAAACATTAGATATACATTACTCAGACGGTGAGTTCAGAAGTTAGCGAGAGTTTGTCGGGTATTTTATAGGCTTTAATTTATAGGCGCCCCAATCAGAACCAATACGGCAAGCGCTGGAAGTTAATATATGAATGCAATGTACACTAGCTGAAGGCTAAGAGCCAGTAGATCATAAAAAGCAATATACCCTCGCAGACTATTAGATCATCGCACAGGTGACACCATTCACTCGGTATTCGTGTCTTAGAATACCATCATCAAGCGTGATGCAGTAGTCACTATATCCTGCTTAGCTCAGCCAAATAAACGTCCATAAACAGTTGGTAAAAATTGTCAGACAAGCAGAAGATAAAATAACACAACTTTAATAGAAGTAGAATCTCTGAATATCAATCCGTATGTTGGTTGATAGATGAATGTTGTTGTCAGGTTGCAAGATGCATATTCCCTTTAGAGCTGACTGGTACACCACTGTACGAACAGAAAGGAAGATCCAGGATTCAGTGCCGAATATTTACAACCTGCGGCGACGCTAAGTTCTAATCGCACAGCGAGAAAAGATCAATTGGACCTGTCAAGAAGAGATCACAGTCTTTATCATCACGAGCTACTACATGTGATACACCTAGTCAAGCAAACTGACCATATATACTCACACTTAGGATTTTTCTCAAGTACTCGTACATGCGTACATGATTGTAAAATACAGTAAAAATGTTTGAGTGTGCAACCTTCATAGGGAAAATAAAAGAACACATGCATATATTCAACACATTTAAACGGTATGAATACATCCATGTAGACACACATACACATACACATACACACACAAACACATGCTCATATACTTAAACACACACACACACACATATATATATATATATATAAATATATACATACATACATATATAAATATATACATACACACACAAACACATACAAACAAACATATATATAAATACATACATAGATACCTAGATCATATATACATATATAAACATATATATATACATACACACATACAAACAAACAAACACACACACACACACATGTACTTATATATATATATATATACATATATATACATACGCACATACAAACAAACAAACACACACACACACATGTACATATATATATATATATATACGTATACACATACACATACACGCACACGCATACAAATAAACATACAATATACATAGATACGTAGATACATAGATATATATATAATCCTAGTTATACAAATATATACACACATACTCACACAAACACACACATACATATACATACGCATATATATATATATAGATATATATATATATAGATATATATATATATATATTATTATATATATATAC